AGTGGTTTTCCAAAGTGGCAGTATTCCTATGCTTTCCCACCAGCAGTGAATAAGAATTTCTGTTCCACATCCTTGCCAGCCTTTGGGGTTATCATTGTTCTGAACTATGACCATTCTAACAGATGTGCAGCAATTCATTGTAATTTAATTTGCATTTTTTCTGATATTCCTCCCTAACCCAAGATCATCTAGATTTTCTCATGTGCAATCTTCTTGCAGTTTATTGTTTTACCTTTTATTTTTATATTTACAATTCATTTTTATTAATTTTTGAAAATACAAGATTTTTGTCAGATTGTATATGTATAGCTGCCAGTTATACTTCCATTGTATTGCCTTTGCTCATTTGTTAAAGATCAGTTGACTGTATTTATAGTTTGTTCTTCTTCAGTATCGAGTTGGACATTCTGGTTTGTCCCCATATAAACTTAGGAATCAGTTTGTTGGTAATCACAAAATAGGTTACTGGATTTGAACTGCAATTACATTTATCTATGGATCACATTGGGAAAAATTGACTTCTGACAAGATTGACTTTTCCTATCTATGAACATGGAATTTCTCTCCATTTAGTTTTTTGATTCCTTGGAGTTTTCATTGCAGTTTTATGGTTTTCCTGACATGTCTTATATATATATTTTATAATTGTATATATTTTATTAGATTTAAGTTTTTTATTTCTTGGGGTAAATTATATTGTGTTAGTATGTTAATCTTGTATCTTGAAACACTGCTAATATGTAATTTCTTATTAGTTCCAAAAGCTTTTGGTTGGTTTTTTTAAAGGTAGACTTTTAATAACTTTTTATCACCAGGTTGAGTCATGCAATAATAAATCATTAAAAATTTCTGAAAGTGCATTATTGCTTTTGTAAAAAATGCTCTTTCTTACATAATTGATATCTCATACTGCATTTCATTCAAAAGGTCCTGACCAAGTAATTCCCCAAACAAAACAGTGCTCTTGACCATTTCAGCCCACTGTTAGGAGGCAGGTGCAGAATGTAGAATGTGATGAATCTGGGTAGGAGATGGCCAGTCAAGGCCAGACTGGGTAGGGGACACTGGCAGGGTTTAGAGCTGGCCATAATTCAAACAGGGAGCCAAGGTGGTTTAAATGACATTTTATTTTAATTATGGTTTAATTAGTCAACACATCAGGTCTTCAAAAAGGAGGAATCATTAAGAAAGTTTACTGCATTCTTTGGACTATGTGTCATAATTGTAATTAGCAAATTCTGGCAGTTAACAAGGTATGAAGATAGCTATTCATCAGGCTTTGTAATTTTTACTGGACAATACATGACTGATAAGCTATAAATGATAACTATCATATGTTATAAAAATACTAGTTTTCTTCATTTATTATGTTTATAGGTATCCACCGCTTGAGTCAAGGTTACACTTGTTAAGTGATAAAAGCAATTTTTTCAGCAGGATGTACTTGTTTTATTCTAAAAGAATAAAATGCACAAAAGGAGCAACTTTTATTTTTCTTTGCAACTTGTAAATTTGAATTATTTTGCTGATGTAAAATACTGGTAATTTGGGCCAGGGATTTAGCTCAGTGGTGCTGTGCCTGCCTCCCAAGTACAAGGTCCTGAGTTCAATCCCCAGTACTGGGGAAAAAAACCCAATAACTCACTGGAGGACCATGTCACCTTCTGAAAATACTGTACACCTAGTTCTTATGTGTATCAAAGCTACAGCTAGCTTCACTTTGCCTGGAGCAGAAGCAAATGACTGTTCCAGGAAGCCTTTCTGGTCAGCACTGGCTGGGCAGGGAGCCCCAGAGTAAGGCAGCACAACCAGGGTGAAGGGGCTTTGTATTCCAAGGAAAAATACCTATGTGACTGCCTGGCACAGATGATTTCCACTCTCACACTCATCAGCTTGTGCACAATCTTCTAACCTTATTTTCCTTCTTCTTAAGGGGTTGATTTGGATTGACTTGTTGACAACAGTATCCATTATCTAATGAGTCATGAAAAAGATTGCTCTGTTTATATGTAAACTTATAATAGGACAGCAGAAGTTACAGGTGGAGAAGGTGGTGAGGCAGTCACACTTGGTTGGGATTCAACTGTATGATGGTCACACCAGCTTCATGTACACCCTGAAGACTTTCTTGATGGTATTGACATAGGCAGCCATTCTCAGGTCCAAGTACTTAATGGCTATGTGCATGATTTGCCTGGCTGATCAATCATGTAGGCCAAGCCAAAGTGCATGATATCTTTGTCTGATGCCCCTGATTTCCTGTTCCAGAATTCTGGTGTTGTTATGAATAGTTTCAACATGGTATAGTTCCACCATGCTCCCTACATTTTTTTTCTCAACTCCCTTGAACAGATATGAACAAGTGGTACTTAGAATCCCTTTCATATTTGAAGGTCATTTGGCATGATTTATATTCTACAGCCTCTCAAAGTAAGATACTGTCACTCCTCTGGCATTCAAATAGAGATTTGGAATAACCATAATGTTCCTCTCCAGGAAAATCTTATCAGCTTCTGGAGTGGTCATTCCATTGGCACCTTTAGCAGTATCTTGGTTGTGATTATGGGTATGTTGGATTTGGTCAACTGCTTCTCACTGGCAATAGGAGTCTGATGTCACAGTCAGCCTTCCTTTGTAAACCCTTGCCTTGGGGAAGCCCAGAGTTGATCCGTGTTGCAGCTTGGAGTCTTCCAGTTCTTTTGGTCAGTACCATCTGAATTATATATACTCCCATCAGCTTCACCAACACCAACACATGTAGCACCAAAATGAAGTAAATATCTCAGAGTGTAGGCCCACATTACCAAAGCCCTAAATGATAAATGTTTTATTTCCAAAGGCTGATGTCATTCCTAAAATGCTCATACTTCATTGATGAAGTTCTCAATTCTGTGGAAAACACAGTGGCTGGTAGAAGAGACTGATGGGCTTCCTGGTAATGCAGGTGTGTGTGTGTTAATATCATAGCAACCTGTGGTGCTGGCATAAGTGTCTGCCATCCAGGACATCGGCTTTCCTGTGCTCATGTCCACAACAGGCAAGTCAGTGCCAGGACCAATAAAACCCTTTACTAGCTCCATCATTGTCTCTGTAGTTCATGGGGCAGATTTTAGTACCTGCCTGAACACCACCAAATGGTGCATCAACCACTGCACATTTGTATGTCATTGGCAAAGCCAGGGCTTTCACTTCATCTACACTCATATCAGTGATATACTGGATACCTCCCTTGCAGGGATTGGGGTCCTGGCTATGCTGACTGCAGTAGCCCTAAGTGACCTCCCATGAACTGTGCTGAATGGGAAAGAGGGATCCTTGACGATGCATAGGACGCCAAGCATGAAGTTTTGCTCTACTCCTTGTTGTCATGGGTCCACAGGTCCTCCACTAGCTTGTCCTCTAATATTGCAGTCAAAGAAGCTTTCCACCATCTTGAAGATGTTGGGGTCTTCCTTGCACTCAGCCACTGCCTCACTGTAGTGGCACCAGGTGGACAGAAGTAGCAGGTAATGCATTTCCCAAACACCCAGCAGTGTAGCAGGCCTGGCACAGGGCAGGAAGAGTACCTTGCCCAGGCAGTTGTAAAGTGATGGTTGCTGCAGGGGTGAGCAATGCTGCAGCAAGGGCTAAGTACTTAGTGTTTGCTTCCCCTTTAAGCTGCAGCTCCCTCCCCCCACAGCTGCCCCTTCCCCTTGCCACTGTTGCCATGGGAGGACAAACTTTGGGTGTGGACACTGGACTTCTGCTGCCTCCACAGCCTTGCCTGGCCTTGTTGGTTGATATTTTTACATTTTATACACAAACTATTTTTTATTTTCTACACAAACCATGATGCCATCTTTAAACAAAGAGCATTTTCTTTCTTTTCAGTCTGTATTCCTTTTCCTCCTTTGCGCTGTCATACTGCTTTAGCTAGGACTTGCAGTGCATGTTGAAAAGGAGTAGTAAGATGGGACATTTTCAACTTCATCCTTATCTTAGTGGGAGAGCTTGAAGTTTCACTATTAAGCATAGTTTAGATGTAGGATTTTCGTACATATTCTTCATCAAGTTGAGGTAGTCCCCCTCTATTCCTAGTTTACAGAGTTTTTTTATTGTGAATGGGTGTTGGATTTTACCACATGAGTAGATGTGATCATGTTATTTTTCTTTTTCATCTCATTGATATGATGGGTTACATTAATTGCTTTTCAGATGTTGAAACAACCTTGCAAACCTAGAGGGGAAAAAATCCCACTCAGTTGTGCTATGCAATCATGTGTACATTTTTTGGTGAGATTTCCTTTGTTTGGATTATTTCCTTGAGTATTTTTGCTTGTATGTTCATGATCAGTAGTTTTCAGGTTTTTTGTTGTTTTTTTGGTTGTTTATTTGTTTTGGTACCAGGGTTTGAACTCGGGTCCTTGCACTTGCAAGGCAGGCAGTGTCACCACTGAGCTAAATCCCTGGCCCTGTAGTTTCCTTGTAATGTCTTTAGTTGGGGTATTAAAATAATAACAATGTTATGGTTTACAGTATATCGAGATATCCTCCAAGAATTTCTTGTGCTCATAGGTGGTGTTATAGCCATCTCAGCAAAAAAGAATCACACCACCAAAATGTCCAAATTAAAGTCCTTTATAGCTGGCGATCAAAGGTGAGCTTTTTGCTCTTAACTCCCTTTGGTACTGATCAATCAGGGAAGCTCAGTTTTTAAGGGGAAAAACCACACAATAAAATGTCATGATCTCATCTTTGAGCAAGCACAAGGGTACAGAAGCAGATTGCAAGTTAGATTAAAATCCAATTTTGGGGATCTGGCAGGAAATTCCTAACCTTATGGTTAGGGCCACAGTATAGCATGTGTGTCCTTCGTTCTTAACCTCAAGATAATATATATCTTGTCCTTTGATCTCAACCACAAGGTAAGCTATGTGCTGGTTAACATCACTTTAAGCAAGCAATCTTAGGGAGGAAAAAGGAATAAAGTTCATGTGCAGACTGTTGGGGGGGCAGGTTCTGGTTAACTCACTTCAGTGGGGCTTTGGGAAGGTGATCGGATTATGGGTCAGTATAGCTGACTTGCCATTAGAAGATGGGGTCTGGTGGCAAGAGGTGTGTCCCTGAAGGTGTGATCTGGAAGGGTTTATCTCCCTCCCCAGCTCCTACCCTCACTCTCTGCTTCTTGTCTGCCATGCAGTAAGCAGCTCTCCTTCACCATGACGTCCTGCTTTGAAGCTACTCACTGTGGACTGAAACCTCTCTATACCGTGAGCCATCTCTTCTTCCCCAAATTGTGTGTCAGGTATTTTTGTCCCAGCAATGAGGAAAGTGACTATGACAGATTTTGGTACCAGAGAAGTTGTGCATTACTGTGACACTACCTGACCATGTGGTTCAGAAGCCTTTGGAACTGGCCCATGGCAGGAGTTTGGGAAGGTTCTGAGGTATTGTTTAGAGAAACAGCCTGAAAATGCTATGAGCTGAACTTGATGGGAGATTCTAGTCAGCAGCACTCAGAAGACCAAATGCTGATAAAAAAACAGAGGATATGCACCAGGCTTAGGAGGGTTGAGATGGGAACAAGAACTCCATTGGCAGTTGGACTCCTGACTGTGTGTGCTATGCTCTGACAGAAAATTTTTCTTCATTTTGTTCAGAAAATGGAGATTAAGGGTGACAGACTAATCTGGCAGAGAAAATTTCAAGGCAGCCCAGCATCTCAGGCCTGGGTACTATTGGGGACTTTTAGCCAACTCTACATTGAGAATCAAGAATGAATGACACAGTTAAGTGATTTCAAAAGTTTTGAGTTTCACCAGAAAGGAAGCTTCTATAAAGTTGGAGTAGAGGACAGCTTGGTTGCTTAGTATTAAAAAGAAATCAAGTACTTTACACTAGGGAAAATACAAAGGATGTCTTGAGGGCATGCCCTGGGGAGTCTCGTCTCAAGGTCTTCACTTTTCCACTTGTGCGTTTGCAGAGACATTCTTGCACTCCTAGGCAGGGCTTTTGGAAAGTGACTAGATTATGGGGGAGGACTAGCTGGCCTGCTGTTAGAAAGTGGAGTCTGGTTGGAAGAGGCAGTTTACTGAGGGCAACTCTTTCAGACCCTGTTTCCCTGCTGCTAGCCAATGAGCAGCTCCCCTCTGCCATACTGTCCTTTGGAGCCAGCCTATTATGGACTGCAGTATCTACAAACTGTAAGTCAAAATAAACCTCTCTCTCCTCCTAAGTTGAAGTCAGATATTTTGTCCCAGTGATGAGGAAAGTGACTGTGATAGGTGGCCTCACAGAATGAGTCAGGAAATGTGCCCTACTTCTGTCCTCTGAAAGAAATTGGAGAGAGTTGCTAGAATTTCTACTTCAAATGTTTGAAAAAATATCACCAGGGAGCTCAGTATGGTGGTGCATGTAATCTCAGCTGTTTGGGAGGCTGAGGCAGGTTTAAGGTCAGACTCTGCAATTTTATGAGACTCAAAGGGGGGAGGGTAATCTGCTGTACAGAAAAGAAAAAGAAAGAGAAATAAAGAACCCCACCAATTCACCAGCAAACTTACATAGACCCAGTACTGCCTATCTTGAAAGGCTATTACTGATTTAATTTCCTTAGTAGGTACAAGGATATTCAAACTTGGATAGAGTTGTTCATAGTATCCTTTATTATCTTTTTAATTTTCATGAGATGTATAATAATGTCCCCTTTCATTTTCTATATTAGTGATTTGTGCTTTCTCTTTTTTTATTGATTTTTTTTTTTAATATTTTAAAGGGCTAGAGATTTGGCTCAATGGTTCCATCGCCTGCCTTGCAAGCGCAGGTTCAATCCTGGTACACACACACACAAAAAAAATAAATAAATCTTTTAAAGAATTAGCTTTGGTTTTCATGATTTTTCTCTATTGATTTCCTGTTTTTAGTTTTATTGCTCTCAAGACTAATTCTTTTTTTTTCTTCTTTTCTGCTTAGTTTGGATTTAATTTTCTCTTTTTCAATTTTCTAAGAACTACATTATTGTTTTAGACCTTTCTTCATCTCTAATATATGCATTCAATGCTATAAATTTCCCTCTCAGAACTACTTTCATGGTATCCTACAACCTTTTTTTTCTTTGGTACCGGGGATTGAACTCTGGTCCTTGCGCTTGCAAGGCAGGCCACCGAACCACTGAGCTAAATCCCCGGCCCTTTACAACTTTTGATAAGTTATTTTCTTATGTTTCAGAATCTTAAAATAGATCTTGAGCTATTTTTTTCTTGTGTGTTATTTGCAAGTGTGTTGTTAACACACTTTGGGGAGTTTTCCACTTATACTAACTGATTTCTAGTTTAATTTCATTGTGATCTGAAAGCAGAAATTTTAAAGATGTGTTTTATGGCCCAAAATGTTATCTGTTTTAGTGAATACTCCATATGAACTTAAGAGAAAATGCATTTTGTGTTGGATGAAGTTAGTATGGTGTATTTTTCTTTATCCGTTTACTTCTAATCTATATTTGCCTTTATAGTTACAATAAATTTCTGTGTAAGTATTGTGCACTAACCAATTGTGCCACTGGAGCTCATAAAATAAATTTCTCTTAGACAACATATAGTTGGGCTTTATTCTTTAATCCACCCAGGTAATTTCTGTCTTTCACTTATTGCATTAGACCAGTGATGTTCAACATGATTACTGATATAGCTACCGTATTTATTAGTTTCCAAGTTTTGACTTTGTTCCTTGTTTCTATTGTCTTTTTCACTTTTGTAGTTTTGCTTGAGCATTTTATGTATGTATTCAATTTTTCTCTCCTTTCATGGCATATCAGTCATGTTTTTCCTAGAATTTGCAGCATACATTTACAACTAATCCAAATCTACTTTCAAATAACACTATCACTTCATGGGTAATGTGAGTACCTTAATAAAATAATACTAATTCTTCCTTCTGTCTTTTGTATCATTGTTGTCACTTTTCACTTATATATAAGCATACATACATCCTCGCACAAGATATATATTCACCTAAGTTGAATTTATGTTTTTTCTCTTCATCAGAAATAACTATACAATTTTTAAATGCATGTTTTGTGTTATCTCTTGAAAAGAACCTTAATAACTAATCTTTGCATTTCTTCAGTAAAGTAGTTGGTTGTTGTGGATTTTTATTCTTGCTCTTTGAAAATTTGTCTAGCTAGTATTTTAATTTTACATCATTATTTATTAAAGACCAGCTTATAGTTTTCTCTTTCTGTGGTATTTTTGTGTAGAATAGAGTGGTTTTTCTTTGTATCACTCCCCTTCATTTCTTATGTACCTATGCACTTTATATAGTTTAGAAATTATTTGTACTCTGAGATGTAAAGGAATTTTTCTGGGCTGGATTTGTAGCTCTATTGTAGAGCACTTGCTTCGCATGTGCAAGGCTCTGAGTTCAATCCCCATCAATCAAAAAAACCTTTGGGGGAGATTCCTATTACATTACCTATGCTGATAATCTATTTAGAAATGTAGAAAAGTAATGGTTTCTATGGTTTTTGTTCTGTTTTGTTTTATACTTTATTACATTTTCATAAATACTATATTTGCAAATATTTGCTCATTTCATAGAGGTTGTCAATTTAAATTGAACTCTGAAATTCACATTTCTGTGGTGAAATTTTCCATATTGACATCCTTTAAATTACCTAATAAATTCTATATCAGTTATTAAGTGCCCCTTTCCATACTTCATATCACGTGGGTAGATTTTCTAGATACTGTACCAGTTTTAAAGGAATATAACATGTGTAGGAAGGATTATTATATAGATTTATCTGGAATGCTGGTATAAACCATCATTTAATAGGCTCAAATGCATTGCCAAATTCCCAAAGAAAAAAAAAATAATATTCAGTATTTTTCAGTCTTTCCTGAATAAGGAACATCTTTTCAGCTCTCATGGGAGTATAATAGCCCCTGAAACATATTTTGGGGAAAATCCAGTCTTAATTTTCTGATTATTTTGACAAATCAGTGCTTACAGTTCCTATTTTCTCAATTTACTACTTTCTAATTTTATTATTTTCTTATCAGTTTTTAATTGGCACCTCCATAGAATATGACTGATATCCATTATTGTATATCCATCCAGTATAGTGTGTATGGGTCATTATGATGTGTGTGTCTCCAGTTATCCCCAACAGTTTCCCAATTAGCTTACTTATGTATATCTTTTGCACTCATAAAATAAAAATTATACTTTCAAATCTGAATACCCTTCCCACTTACTTTTTGTCTTTGCTTTTCTCACTTTTATCCTCTTCCTTTACTTGCCTGCTTGATATACTACTTTTCCTACTTTACAGGTTTGACTCAAATTTTAGGGAGCTTTCCTGACTCTTTCACATACTTTTATATATCTTCTGATACCTTGCCAAAATCCTCAACATTGTTGGGCATGATGGCTCGTGCTTGTTATCCCAGCACTTAGGAGGATTGTTATCCCAGCGTCTGCAGGAGGATTGCCATAAGTTCCAGATTAGCCTGGGCTACATAGTGAGTTCAAGATCAACCTAAACTACATAAACTACATAGTGAGACCTTATCTTAAAAATATGTTAACATCTTTCATCTCTCTGAACACAGTAAGCTTAGCTGTGTTAAGCTGTGTACCTGATTAGCTTTACTATATGGATCCCCTGTGGTCTTATTTCTATTATATATTATTTCTGATGATTTTCTTTTATGTATTCTTATCTCTTTATGTGTGTTTTAAAATTTTGTTGGAATTTGTATTTGAAAAAATTGTAGAATTAGGGCCGGGGATTTAGCTCAGCGGTTCGGTGGCCTGCCTTGTAAGCGCAGGAACCCGAGTTCAATCCCTGGTACCAAAAAAAAAAAAGAAAAAAAGAAAAATTGTAGAATTAACAGAATGCCTAAAATGTTATATTCCTCTAGAGAAGCCTTAATTCTTTAAGAGAATTAAACCCCTAATGCCCTATTTGCCAGGCATAACATAGAATTTGAATTTCAGATATTAATTATATCCCAAATACTGAATGGGATATATTTATACTAAAAATTGCATTATTGTTTATACTTCAAATGTACATGTGCATTCTGTATTTTTATTTGCTAAATATAACACCCCAAGCCCTAAATTATTACATATGATGAATTAACTTACTTCATGTACATATAGAGTGACACTAGTTATAGAATTGAGAAAATGGTTGATTAAATCCTTTTCTTTGTTCTGTAATTCAACAGACCTGATTGTGAAGACCTGATTAGGAAAGTTTGCTCTAGGGAGTCCTGCTAGATTCTTAGAGTACTAGTAATTTACTATCTTGTTAATACAATTTCAGGGATTGACATGGCTTGAGGCTGAGCTAAATTCCCTTTGAGAGCTGCTCTACTTTTGTCAGAAACTCTATTCAGCTCTCTTCTGTCTCTTCCTAATTGGCAGATGCCCCCAGGGAAGAAATGGCCTAAATGCTGAGGTAGATCTCTGAATTTTCTATATAGATTTTAGCCTTGTACTTTTTTTCTATCCTGCTAGCTATATGATGCATTGAAGCAGATTTTAATTTTTCTTTAAAATGTCCAGTCTTTTCAAGTTACCTTCAACAGGAGAGTTAGCCTAAATTACTTAATCTTCCACTGGTGAAAGCAGTGTACAACTTAAAAACTACAGACGCACCATAGTTGAACTCTAGGTCAGATCTAAGTATCATTAAAATAGATGGAAAGGAAGTATATATTTTACACATAATTTCTATTAACTTAAAATATATATATGTTTAGGAAGAAAATAAAGTTAGCTTACCTAAGGGATTTTTTATCTACCTGAATCTAAGAAGCTTGAATCTTAACCAATTAGGAAGTACTATTAACCACTAAGATTTAGTATCTTGGGTAATGTGATCTAATTGCTTGGGTAGAATAGGAAATGAGGTGAATTTTGAAATGGTTAGTTTTTAAACCAGAAGAAAGTAGTTCTGTCTTCATATGTGTTTCCTGGCTTACTGTTTACTTATTTAGAGATGGAGTCTTGCTCTGTTGCTCATACTGGTCTTGAACTCCTGGGATCAAGTGATTCTTCTGCCTCAGCCACTCAGGTAGCTGGGACTATAGGTATGGGCACTGTCCCACCTCTGACTCATCTTATAAATATATAATAAAGTAAAAAATATAAACAAATGAATTGGAAAATTGGTTGTCTCCTGTGTATGCTGTATGTCTCTGGCTTATTGTGTTTATATCCACCATCTAAGAAACATAGCCATCTTGAACTTGTTCACTAATGCATGTCAGAATCTGTTCCAAGGTGTTTATTTTTAAAAGTCTGCATTTGCTCTGGTTCTTAGTTAATACTGTTAATTTCTGTCCCAAAATAATATAGCTATAGTATACCAGCTCCATTTCCAAACTTAGTGTTTCAATAGGACTATATTTTTGCTTTTTAAAATTTTTTCTCCATAGATATTTACTTTGATGATCAAATCTTTAAGTGGTATAGTTATAAGCTATGAAACTAAATTTTTTTCATTAGCTGTAATAAAGAGTGTAGTAAGCATGTCTTATGTTTGTATTTCTGAAAATTCTTTTAAAGAATTATGAAATTGCAGCTGCTCTGGAAAATCAAAGCCACAAGATTCGGTATTCAGATTCAGTGGAAAAAGGATCAATTTTATTTTCTCTTTCTGGTACAGTATATTTGCTAACTGCTTTGATTTAAATTTCTTATAAAGATGAGTACAAACCTTAATTTTTGCAATTGGGTCACCATTTTATAATTTAAGGTGTTATCTTTTGGGAGAGGTAAACATGTTAAACTTTGTTGTTGCTGCAAAAGCAGTATATTTGTCCAAATAAAGAATATGGAGTATTCCTAAGTTAAAAATCACTAAAATAAAGCTGCACCTGTGGAGTCTGGTAGAGGATGGGAACAACTAATTTGCTTTGGAACTAAGATGAAAATAGAAAATGCTACTTTCACAGCAATCAAGACTATTAGTTGGGCATGGTGATGCATGTCTAATCCTAGCTCTGAGGAAGGCTAAAGCAGGAGGTTGGCAAGGTCAAGTCTTATCTGGGGAACTGAACAAGACCTGTCCAAGAAAAAAAAATTTGTTTCCTCATTGAGTTTATTGGTACATTTTAGGTATACAGTACAGTTAATTCATCATTGGGATCTTGTACCTTTACATGACAGGTCTTGGTTCTCATTTTCTCCCCTAGAAAAAAAATTTTTTAAGGAGTAAGGATATATGTCAGTGGTAGAGTGCCCTTGAGTTCAATCCTGTACTACCTCACACAAAAAAAGATTAAAGTATTAACCATATTAATAGAGCCCACATCACATCACTGACCAAAATTTATATACAAAAGTCTATACATGAAATTGGTTTCCACAATTTTGTATGAGCTTACTGATTAGGATATGAACAAATACTAAGTTGAAGAGCTATTTGGGGACAAATAAATTTCCCTTAAATCCTAAAACTATGAGTAATGAGCAAAGCACAGGAATTAGATTAAGAGAAAACTGGGGCAATAGGCGGGGGGCAATTCTACCTGTGATTGGGAAATAATAGTGGTGATAAAAAGGTTGTTATGGTTTACAACTAGAATGTCCTCCCAAAGCCTCGTGTGTTCAGAGGTGACTGGATCATGGAGATTGCTACAGTCATCAGTGGATTCATCCACCAGTTAGTTCAGTAGCTATTGTTAGGAGGTAGAACCTCCTTAGTGGCCGTTCACTGGAGGTGTGATCTGGGTGTTTCTTCCTCCCTGGCTTTTCCCTTCTGTTGAGCAGCTTTTCTTCATTTGACCTATGCCCTTTCTACCTTAGAACCAGCAGGCTATCGACTGAATCTTCTAAAAGCTAGGAGCCAAAATACCTCTCTTAAGTTATGCTTACCAAGTATTTTGTCCCAAAGACAAAGTGACTACCTCTACTGTAGCAAAGGCTTTGGGAGATATATACTTTCAAAAGCTCTTAGAAATAGACCTTTGTGGGCCCGGGATTTAGCTCAGTGGTGCTGCTGCCTGCCTTGCAAGCACAAGGTCCTGAGTTCAATCCCTGGTACAAAAAAGAATAGACTTCCTGGCTGAAAGTGGTCCAGCCTCAAACTCATTTTTGTCTGGTTTAACAGAGAGCCCTCCAGGGGAAAGGAAATCATTTTTGGTGACCTACCACAATTCTTGGCCACATTATATACATCATTTAACTGTTCTGACAAGCTTAACAATTACCCCCATCTTGTAGAAAAAGGAACTCATATTTTATTTTTTGTTTACAAAATTTACCATGTATGAAAAACTGACTGTATACATTTACCTTTTCAGGAATTGCATTTTTATTGATGGATGCTAACGAATGCATTATGTCAGCCGAAGAAATATTTCTAACTAAAATTGAAAATTTTCTTAACATTCATCGGAATAGTTTTTTGGTTCTGTTCGCTGCTCTTCATGGGCCTGAAGAATGGAAACTGATATTCAGGATTCAGCAGAGGTATAGAAGAACAGCGCTACAGACTTATTATACTGTGTTGTGTTTACTTCCGTTAATTCAGGCAGATGTTTTGTTTTGCTAGAAGAAAAATTTTACAATGTTAACCTGTCATATTTAAGGAAACAGGACAAACTTGTTTTGATTTAGGGTGGCCAGAGTTCATGTTGATTTATTGGCTTTTCCTGCAAGACCAAAGTAAACAGTTAAGTTCTGGCAATAAAGCCACCTCAAATCCTGTGATATAAGGCAGGTCACGAGGAATAAACACATAATAAACAATAGAGGTATCGCTCTTCATTAAATGTATTTAAGAGAACAAATGTCAGCTAAGGTATATGGTCTTTATGATTTTACTTTTTCAGATTCCTGGGAAATAAATTACGGATACTTCCAGTACACAACACAGCAAATGCTGTCAATCTCATGTGCACTATAGCTAAGGTAAAACACCTGGGGAAAGATACATGGTACTGTTTTCAGGTGTTTGGCTTCAGACTGCAAACCACCTTGAGCAAGAATGACAAATATCCTGCTTTGTTCAGCTCAGAGAAGTTGCTTTTTCACACATACAACCCTTTCCCACTCCTGAACTCAACTTCTCAATTTACTCCTGGTAGTCACTACCCACTTATGATTCATTTTGGGCGGCAAGAGCATTTGGCTGCTCTTTGTGCCGGGCCAATAGGTTATCTCTTCCTTCAAATCCTGAAGTATAAAATATTGTTCAGATTGCAATCAGAGCAATCTGGGTGCAAACATTTTTTAATGAAATGTTCTCCTTTAGTTCACTATCTTCCTGATTGTTTTCCTCTGTGAAATGTGCCTAGATAAACCCCCACCCCAACTCCGCTAGGCAGAATTAGGTCTTCCTTATTCTTACACTTGGAACACATCCCCATTGAAGTAATTATTGTACTATTCCTTTTGGCTTGCATGTTTGATATTCCTTGAAGATAGAAATCAGATATTTTATTACTCTTAACAACTCATATACTGTATAATTTTTTAGATCAAAGGTGGTCATATTTGCTGAATGAATTTAAAGTTAGGTTTTCTTTTATGTGATCCTGGTAAAAAAAAAACTCATTTCTGTAATAATGCTGCATATTTATATCTTCTTCCAGACTACCTCCAAACCATATATGGATAGTGTCTGCTATAGAATGATAACAACTAAAGCTTATATCATAGAGCAAAGTCCTGTTTGGAAGACACTTCAAAAGATAAAACTGAATAGTGACTCAATTAACCCAAATTAGAGAACTAGTTATAAGTGTTCTTTTGGAAGAACATAAGAATAATCAAACCTGTTAAGTTATATTTAAATATATATTTACTTTAAAGATGTTTATATTAACTTAAATAACATGTATACAATTAAAAGCCATTTTATTTTAGCTTTGCTGAGTGATCATTTTCTATAACGTTTAAAAAGTAATTAGTACATATATAATTATAAAACTCATTCAGTTTCTTGATAAATATTAAGCTGGATGGACAAATAAGACCAAGTAAAATACAGAATTTTCTAATTGGCTCCTTGCCAAAAAGGAAAAGACTCTTTCTCTCTCTGGTTTTCCACAAGATCGACCAATATTTTAAAATTAATCTTTGCAGATGCTTTCATATCGGGGTTGTGAAAAGACTTTGTTCCGTACGACTCCTCTTGAAGCATGGGAAGGGAAGCTAAGAAAACCAATAAACTGTCTTCAGCACATCACCTTTACAGTAGTATAGAATCTAACCTGACACAGGATTTCTTAACTGCTACAAAGCACTTAAGCAGAAAGTGTACCATCTTTTTTATAAACACACAACTATATTAATGAGTAAAGCATTTCAACATTTTATGAAATAGAAAATTTTTAGTTTGCAACAAATTTTCAAATGTAGTATTTTTAACTTTTTAAAACTATAATCCATGATCCATGTGTTTTGATAGAATCTGACTACTGAAAAAGCCATACCTCTTTGCAGAAAAAAATTTACAAAGATAGTAAATAAAGCACAATGGAAAATACAGTATTTTATTAATTTTTATTTAGAAAGTGAAACTTTTACTTTATTCCAACATTTTCTTCAGAGGTAGACTTTGTTTTTATTGCAATGAGTTCTTCTACTCGAGCTAGAACACTTTGAATCAAGTCAAATGTGAAAAGAGCTGAATGTAGAACCTGCAATGCCAAGAAAAATTAGTGTTGTTAATGCTGCCTTTAAAATAAAACATAGAAAATACAGTTTAAGAAAATTTCAGATCACCTTAAGCTGCATTTCAGGAGGCATATTAGCGATCTCTTCTCTACCTACAGTTACAGAACAAAGGTCCTTAGACTTCTGGACTACTGTAAGAGAAGAAACATCATATCAAACTTAACCATTAAAACAAGTCTCAGATTTTAACAATACATTTATAAGCTACTTTCATCATTTACTTAAATGTTTCAGTTATATCTGTAAATTAAATCTTAACACGAGAATATTTAAATCAAGCTATGAGTAAATACACACTAGATTCTGCAGTATATGAACTAATGTTTTTGTAGAGAAACAGCATTATTTTGGCATATAAAGGATGCATGAAACTTCATTTTTATGTGGAATTATAGCCCTTTAAAAAAGATAACATTTTAATAATGCCCTCAAAAATGCCACCACATATTTAAAAAAAAAAAAAATATATATATATATATATATATACACACATAAAATCACATTATAACAGAATAGTTGACTTACATCTACATCTAAGATTCTTTTTATAATTTGTACAGATTTATTCAAGGGTAAGATAGAGGTGGACCTAACAATACAAAGAAAGTATAATGGCAACAAAGGAAAATGCTTGTAATACAACAATATTCTTTAAAGAAAAAAAATTTTTTAGCTGGGCATGGCACACACCAGTAGTCCCAGAACTTGGGAGGCTGAGGCAAAATGATCGCCACAAGTTCAAGGCCAGCCCAGGATTTAGCTCAGTGGCACCACGCCTCCTTGCAAACACAGGTCCTGAGTTTGATCCCTGGTACGGGGGGGGAAAAAAAAAAAAAAAAAAACCCAAAAAACAAAAAACAAGTTCAAGGCCAGTCTGAACTACATAGTGAGTTCACTCAAACAACAAAATAAAAACAAATTTTTTCAACCACTGGAGATCTAATCCAAGGCTATGCACATACTAGGCAAGGGCTCTACTGTTGTGCTATACCCACAAACCCTTTATATTTTGAGACATGTTCTAAGTTGCCCAGAACTGTGGTCTTCCTGTCTTAACCTCCAATACAACCACTTTCCTAATTAGAATTTGAGACTTTGAAACAGATTGTGCTTCAACTTGGTGTAAATCTTCATTAACTCCATTTCAGTGTTAATTGGCTTAGAGATTTACGAAGAATCAGTTTAATTATAAGAACTGACTTAGCTCTTGTGGTCTCTCATTTCACAAAAATTGAACATGAACTAAAGTGTTTTTTATCTTGAATGTGATAGTTCCAAAATTTGAGTAATTTTCAGACCTAATTTAAAAGAAAATTATATATTACCAACCTTGGTTATTTTCTTGGCGATTTTTAATTTCTGCTTCATAGTGTGCTTTTGACATATTAAGTCCTGTATGAAGTGGCTTTAAGAAATTATTCTCAATCTTTCCAAGTTCTGTCCAAAATCCAGTCTGTTCAGAAGAATTAATGAAAGAATTAATTATTTATTTCAGCAATTACTAATCGTCTACTATTACTATCCATGTATACAGAACAGGTGACAAAAATGAATGAAACACCATCCTTGCTTTTCAAGACAGTTTACTTTTGTTACTGTATCTAGTTATGAGTATCAAGCAGATAAAAAAACACAAATTAAAAGAAAAATGTACACAGGGCACTATACTCATGATTGCTCCATTTGGGTAGTTCCTAGTTTTAAGATCTGTAACATTCATCCTTGAGAAAAGTATCAGATGATAATTCACACACTTTGAAACATTTCTCTTTCCCTATATACCATTTCTACAATGAATGTACCGTAAATATTCCTTCAACTCTGGACTCTTCAATATCCTTATCCTCTTCCACATTATTGGCTCTCTTTCCTAGTGGAAAATTTACTATAAAATACTAATTTGGACTTTCCTAGTGACTCATGTAAAGGGAAACTTTGCTTAGGGAAATTTCTGAGATGTTTTCATTTCAAGATCATTTCCTCCTACAATACTAAAGAAGGGGTGTAATGGTGTCTTTTTTTTTTTTTTCTCTTTGATACTGGGCATAGAACTCAGGACCTTGCCCTTGTCATGCACGCGCAATGCCACTGAGCTACATCCCAGGCCCAAGAAGTCTTAATTTTATTTAAAAATTTTAAAAGGAAAGACAAGAAGAGGAAGAAGGAAAATCTATTAGGATCAAGTTTCCAGGTACTCTAACTAGAAAATGTCTGAAAGGAACCCAGTTATCCTTAACTATAACAACAAAACAGACCACCTGAATCCTATTTTATGAATTTATTTTGATCCAAGTAGTATATATTTTACTTAAAAGAGTACTCCAAATAAAATCTACACATATTTATGCTGAACAATTGATAGTGTTAATGACTTTCACATCCTTTCCATTTAAATCTGCCCTTTTCATTCTCCTATACTACTAGGAAAAATACTGTTCTAGGGATTAAACAGATCAGAATCCAAGACCTCAAAAATAACCCTGTCCTTTCACTCAACACTAAAGAGGTTAACCTGGGGAAATAATTAAAGATGTATATTGTAAATATTCTATTGCAGATATATATTTAAAATAATGTTTAAAAAGCAAAGAACTGGAATTCATGAACACATTTCAAAACATTCATATAATAGAAAGCTACAATATTGTTCAATTAAATAGTTCTTCAGTACATACTGATGAATAGGAAAAAGTTACAAAACAGTATAATTCCTATAGTATGGCATATCACCTATAATGGCATACAGTATAGTATCAATAGATGGGATTTTGAATACTCCATTTCTTTTTGCTTAACTACTCTGCTTTTAAAACAATGAACTTGTTTTAAGTAAAGATTTTTTAAATATACTATTAACAGAAAGATTTTTAACCCTTTATAGAAAACATGAATTACACAGTATTACAGCAAAAACATCTTCCACCAATGCAGTTACATAACATAATAACCATATTACTCTACCACATTAACCTACTGCTTGCTCTCATTTGTTTTCACCTCTCTGCATAAGCTTTTTAAAAAACTTATCTACTGCTTCTTTTTTTTTTAACCTTCTTTGCTTTTAACTCTAAACTTGTAAGTGGATCCCAGTACCACTGATAGTTGTCAGGGTTACTTAGGATACTGATGAAACTGAGACAAAGTGTACAGAGAAAATATCCTTTAGCCTATACTTACCTTTATCAAAAGGAGACATTTTCTCTTATTTAAAAAAAAAAGTAAAATACTAGATACGGTCTCCATATTCAAGAAGCAGCCATTATCTAAAACTTGAATATTTAGCATTCCTAATGTGTAAATCACTTAGATACTTTTCATGTTTAAAAGCTTATATAAATTAGGATAATGTATCCTGTTTCAACTGTCTGTCAGTCCTATGTTTTTGAGTTATTTATGTTGTAGCTGTGATTCTTTGACTGGTATATGGGCATCTCAATACATAATAGCTATTTGGGGAGGGAATGAAGGAGAAATTAAGATGTACTATGTACTTGTACCAACTGCCCACAATAAATGTAAGCATGTACTGCAAATGTGTACTAATTTTTTAAAAAATAAGATTATAGCAGTCTGGGGATTTACCTCAGTGGCACCAAGCCTGCCTTGCAAGCGCAAGGTTCTGAGTTTGATCCCTGGTTCAGGGTGTGGGTGGGGGGACGGAGGGTTATAAAGCAATTCAAC